CACGCTCGACAACATCTCATTACAGTAACTTTCGATTCACCCATTTAGCGATTTCTCTAAAAGAAAATCCGTCTTCACGTAACCCGATTATCCGACCCTTCTCCAACTCGGAAAGTTGAGTGAAATTAGCGCGTCTGCAAACTCTAGATATGATAATGCAATGAAACAAATGAAATCAACACAGAACAATCACTGAATATTAAGAAAACATGTTCATATTGTTCGGATCCTGATATGACAAAAAAAATTCAGCGTGTAATTCCATGATAGTAAATATGTTTTACAAGTTTTATCAAAATTCAATAAATAATTTTAGGTGTTGCATTTTATAAGGCACTTAGTATATTATGAAGATAAATTTATTAGTGCCTTTGCCAAATTGTGCAAGGTTCTTGATAATCGTTTTCTCACGACATTGACAACTTTCGTCCCTGGAGAGAACTTCAATTCAGTAAACGCCCTTAAAGTAAAACGAATTCTTCAAATCCTATGAAAATAGAGTTTCATTCTGTTATGCGCTCCAACACACGGAATGTTTCTTTTTCCAATTCACTTAAGTGATACGAACCCAATACGGGAAAAACCCATTAGCGTAACTAGCCGCAATGTGATATGGTTTTCCACAGGATGATACTATCCAACAACCAACTATTGATAACAACTTAAAAATACCTCTGTTGGTCTACATCAACTTCTACTAGTAAAGTGAATTAGCTCTATGAAAAATTAAATTTTGTATGTATTTCAAACTAGTTACAATTTTTTGCCTGCAGTTTTGAATGCGTAAGAACTTAAAACTACTAGAAAGTGTTTAAACACGGTTTGTGCAGATTGGTGTGTTCTGGGTTTCATTTGAAAACTTCCCACCACGGAGTTATCGGAAACCAGTGATTAACAGAAAAAACGCCGAGACACATCAAAAGGTTTATCAAGGGGGACGACTTTTTAACCAAAATATACTTCACCCTCTTTCACCCTCTGCCCCCAAGGTCATCCCCTTAAAAATTTTAAATGATAAGGGGTATGGTAATAGCTTGTTTGAAAGGTCTTTCAAAGTCCTTTATTTTGACGTCTGATTTTTTAAATCGGTCTATTCGTTTGCAAGAATATTAGAAAAAAGTTTATTTATCTTAATTTGTTCAGATAGAAAGCAAAAACACACGAAAATATCACTTTTTATTTCAATAAGTCTTAAAAATGTTTCCCGTTATTCGCCAAACAATGATATAGGCGATGTTCAAATTCCGGACGGACATTTTCAAAAACATATTGTGGGATATCATGGCAGCTTTCGATGATGCGTTGACGAAGTTCATCCAAGCTTTCAGATTGGGGAGTAAACACAATAGATTTCAAATGGCCCCATAGAAAAAAATCTAATAGCGTCAAATCAGGAGATCTAGCAGGCCATTCTATAGGCCCTTTTTGCTCTATACCTTCATCTGGAAGCTCGTCGTCTAGCCATTGCCGAACCGGAAGAACATAGTGAGGAGGAGCGCCGTCTTGCTGGAAATATATTACAGCCTCATCAAGTATAGTGTTTCCATCCTCTTCGATTTGGTTTTCAATGATTTCAGTGATAAGCGGATTGATGGTATTTTCTAACTTATCCAAATAAATGTCTCCATTCAAATTTCCATTAATAATCAATGGCCCAATCACTTTGTTTCATAAAATGCCAGCCATACATTAATTTTTTGGGGGTACTGGGTATGCCCTTCTACAAAAGTATGAGGATTTTCAATGCCCCAAAACCTGCAGTTATGCTTCTTAACATCCATTTAGATTAAATGTGCATTCATCACCGAAGCAGATATTCTTTACATGAATGGTATTATCATTAATCGCTGCACTCATTTGTTCACAATACTAAATTTATGGAGTTTAGTAACTGTGTGTACGGAGCCTAATGAAATACCAGTCGGAGCAACAATTTTGTGTAATGAAGTATTAAGATTTATTCCAAAACGACCCAAAACGTCAACTTGAGCGGTTTGATCTAAAACTCTCCGATGATCACGTTTTTGATTTGTAACAGATCCAGTTTAAGTAAATTTAGTAACAAGGTCCAAAACATACCTATGCGAAGTTATCTTCCCCGGATGTCTGGTGTAAAGCTATTACTCGATACCCCTTGTCATTTAAAATGTTTAAGGGGATGGCCCAGGGGGGCAAAGGGTGAAAGGGGATGGCCCAGGGGGGCAAAGGGTGAAAGGGGGTGACGTTGTTTTTGGTTAAAAAGCTGTCCCCCTTGACAAATCTTTTGAAGTGTCTCGAAGTTTTCAAAAGAACACTCTGGATATTCAGTTATTGTGACATACTCTACCCTCTCGCTGACACAGTTGGATTAGGGCATATGCCCAGCGGCAAAGAATTTTTATACAGTTCGAAATAAGAAAGAGGGAATCGTGAACAAATTTTGAAATGAAAATATTCCTTACTAATGTTTTACATTTGGGTAGTCGTCGGGGTGTGCTTCTGAAAGGTGATTTATGTCTTCTTGAAGTGGGTAGCTGTGTTTAGCTTGACCTTCACAAACGATAGCACGCCTGCGGAACCAAAAATCTTTTTTACATGGTGTTCTATTTTCTCTCTCAGTATATACTGTGGCACTTAGTTGTGAAACGTTTTAATGACTTGAAGGTTATTCTTGCTGGTACATGGCTAAACCTGCAACCCGTGGGTCTACCTGGCTCCTGTTTAATCGCAATTCAAATTATTATTCTGAGATTTTTTACCTATACTACAATTTGATATTAAAAAAAAACAAAAACTAAAGTAACTGGCAGGTAAACTCATAGCTGAGATTCATCGATTTACTCAGCTCGGATTAGTTGAAACATTATAATCAAGAAGATCATTTTGAGTGTAGTCAGTTGCAAATATTACTAGCGACCCTGGTGTGCCTGAAATTTTCAAGAAATCTTATTTTTGACTTTTTTCGAATCCACGAGTTGTTTTAGCTTTAAGGCTTGTGGATATATTTGCGTAATGTGATAATAGGTACATTTTTATTCGAGGGAATTTATAAGTCACTTTTTATATGTGTTTAAAATAAACTACAACCTACAAGACTTGTCAATATTTCTTCGAGTAACCGTTGAAAAAATATTAATGAGGCCCCGCTAAAACCCTCTGTGGACATCCCAGGAATAAAGAGACCAGCCGACAAGGATAAAGGTAACGTAAAAAATGATGTGCGTGATGAAGGATGAGCGTAGGAGGGCAAGGTACGCCGCTGGGACACGGCACCAGACAGGGTGGGGCTTATGGCGACGTTTAGAGGTATTTGACTCCGAAAGAAGTGCACAGGGCACATAGGGAAGGAACGGGGGCAACTACATTGCGAGCTGGCTGGGAACAAAAAGCTGGTACGGTGGTGAAAAAATAAATGAGCTTGTTTTGCCTTTCGCCCTTAGCTGATATGTCACTTTAAGCATAATGAGGGTGGAGGCAAAATTACAATCGGCTTGTTAGCATACATACTTTTGGAAATTAGAAGGGCGTTCATATGAATATTCTGAGCGTCTAAGAAATAAATAGGCAAAACATTTGAAAATGAGATTTAGCAGGGTATAATTAAGCGCCTAGCCAAACTTCAAGGAGGATTAATCTTTATAAAGTGATTTAAAGGTCACATATGTTTGTAATGGTTCAGTGTTGTGTGCAGTGATAAGGTGAACATACAAATACACTGGGCAACCATGTTAGAGTTTGGGGACACTGCACACGCTCCGGGACAGCGTCGCGAAAAAACGTGTTCCTCGATTAAGCTTATAAATGTGCTCTTCATTGTAAGTTGCATAATGCATCTGACGAAACTTCAAGGGCGTAGAAATGCCCTGTATGGACAATGTTAAAAAATACAGATCTGTGAGAAAATTATGAACCAGTCATAAAATAGCCTTTGCAGAAAAGTGGAAACCGCCCGTAAAGGTGGTATCGTGTTTACTTACATTTTCAAATGCATATTAGACGAACTTTCACATACAATGCAATTTTATATTACAATAGCTTAAGCCAGGATCTGAAGACTATCCAGTCCTCCCGGAGTTTTAAAACTCAGTTAAAAAGATATTTTTACAAGAATTGCAAAACAACCGCTAGCTTAAGAAGTTCTTTCATTTTCATACTTTTTGTATTTTTCATTAATTATTTTTCCGTTTCTTCATAACCTATTATCTCTTCTTCTTTTTATAGCTAAATTGGCACAAATAGTCCTATTATAATGTAACCTATTATCTCTTCTTCTTTTTATAGCTAAATTGGCATAAATAGTCCTATTATACTGTGACCTAATGTTTGTAGTTTCACATTTTTTTTTGTTTGTTTTTGTATAACTTGTTTTTTTTTTCACTTTTGTACGGGGTTAGATGGTGGAATAGCAGGTGCTAAATCTCGCCCCATGTAATGTACCATGTTTTGGTCAATAAAGACGATTATTATTATTATTATTATTATTATTATTATATACCCGTATATATAGCATAATCTTATCAAAATATAGACATCTCCCAACGAATTTGCATGTTTCCAGGCCCAAAATTGCGCCTAACATTGTTCAAAGAATGTTCTAACAAATTCCAACGTTTTTTGTTTCTTTTGATGTTTTTTCAGGTTTTTTGGGTCATTCTGAACAAAAAAGGTTCTTATGAACTTTAATATTTGAAAAGGTGTAAAATATGCCAGTTTCGACCCCGAAAAACAGTCTGAAAAAACGAAGTCTGTAGGAGCAGAATTACCAAAAAAACTAAAATACTGGTATATTTGCTCGGAGCGAAAAAAAAATGTTTGGAACTTGTTTGAAAAAACTGTTTATGGAATTTTCGACGCACTGGAGGATCTGGCACGATGCAAAATCGATAAGATTACGCAAAAAAACGACTCAGAAATATAGGGAAAGAGCATCAAATGGCTTTATTCGAAAACCTTATGAACTTAAAAACACTAACCAACTGTATAATACTCAGAACTAAATGACACTTATTTGAACAGGTTAACGTTAATAGCTGTCTAGTTACTTTTAAGCGATGCCGATTGACATTTCAAAAATAATAAGTAAATTATAGATTACAAATGAATATTTATACAGATTTCTGTTGTCTGTCATGCCTAGATCAATAATATACCGGGAACCAGGAAAGTTTATTTACGTCTCATATGGTCTCAACCTACAAAGGGCATATAAATATGAAGAAAGCCGCCCCATCAGTTGTACCAAAAGGAAGAGGATGTCTAAGTGTAAGTTTTAGCACAGTGAATTTTTGCAGGTCAAAGAACGTCACTGCTTCTCACATCATTTTTTAAAATAAAATAAAACCTAGTTTGGTTAAAGCACAAGACATTGCTAATCAATTTGCCAAACTTTTCAATAAAGTCTATACAAATTCAATGGATTCTGATGTAATATAGTTAAAACAACATCATAATTGATGATACTACTGAAATGGAAATCATCCGTGCAGCAAATACGCTGAAAAATAAAATGACTTCAGGTTGTGATAACATACCTTCTTTTTTGGTTAAGGATTGATTTTATCACTGTTTTAGCGCATCCTTTAAGAATTATATATAACGTAATTTGACAATGTAATCATGAGCATTTCCACAAGTATGGAATGCAGGCAAAATTGTCGTTACTTTTAAAACAGGTGATAATCTATTATATCCAATTACCGTACCATACATTCTGTCGAACATTTCGACGCTTCTAGAAATCATTTTGTATAATCGCGTATTTCCTGTAGTTCGTACTAGTATCATTCTAATAGATTAAAAGATCAACAGAAACTAATCTAGTACTTTTTACACAAAAACTATCGGAAGTCTTGGATCAGGGTGGTCAAGTAGAATTAAACTATAAACCAGTTGGTTTAATTACAGTCTGTACTGACATCAATTTGTTTGTTTTTTCATGTAGTATTTATTAATTTGTTTTTCATAGCTGTCCTAAGGGATGTTTGTTATCTCTTGGGTCGTGTTTTGTGTATCATTCGATAGCCCCGAAGAACTCGCCGGAACGTTGAAAACTTGAAAAAGAACATTTTGTAACACCTGTTTGTCCCTAGAATGTGAACAAATTAAAAGTCCATATTAGGCACGTGAGATAAGAACTTATTTCTTTTAAGGCACAAGCAGCTGTGGTAAAACTGCGGCAAGTGACTCCCGCGTGCAGCATATGCCGCATCATGTTGCAAATGTAGAAATAGAATAGATATAGAACGAGCCAAGCTTATAGGTTTACAATGCATTATTTGTCTCCAAAATTGCGTAGTTTTAGTGCATGCTTTTGACTAATTTGTCTACCAATGCCTACCAAAGTGCCAGCGTTGTATCAACATTGTAATAATACTACAGGTGGAAATATCTACCTTTATTAGGATTGTGCCGCTCCTTGCAGATTATGTAAAAGGTACATGTCTTGAAATCATCTAGAAACACTAGAATTATCTGCATGCACTCGCATTTTTAATAATGATAAAAATAACACTAAAAATAGTAGTTTAATGACATAACTGTCAAAAAATTGACATTTGTCAAGTGCACTTTGATCCTCTCTGCAGACTATGAAAATTAGTCGACAAATAATTTCTTGTCTGGCTCCTTCTATTTCGTCTAAATTCGTTGGTATATTATACCGACTTATCCTCAGTATATAATGTAGATCTGACTTTAAATATAATACTATACTATATTTTTATATCGCCACTTTTGCTCCTTTACAAGATGGCATAATTAGAATTTCAATACGCCGTTTATCCATATTGGGAGGTAAATAGACTTGTCAATTCTGATTCTAAAAATGTACGTAATATATGAACATTGCTAAATTATAGCATGGGTATATTTTTTTAATGATTCAATATTATCTTAGGGTTATCGTTTGGACTTCGTCAGACCGAATAAAAATTGGAAAGGGGCGCTGGCAACAATCGTACCCCATAAGGGTCATAGCATTATGGGTGCTATTTGGGAGGTGAACAATAATGAGATCAGTTTATATAAGTAAGTACACTTTTCATAATAATAGCCCGTGACAAGGAATTTATATGTTGCAAACAAATATCAATGCCAAAATGCATTAACTTAATGTTTTAACAATCCCAAACGGGTACGTCGGAAACCTTTGCTCTCATATGTCATGTTCTGTCATCTATTAATATTAATCGTATGTAAGAATATCATAGCTTAAAACTAAATGATAATTGAAACTGCCAAACCCCCAACAGCTATAAGTTCTGTTTGAGCAAGTTTAGACGAACATACTTGTGCGAAAAATAAACGTGGGTTTCGCAAATCGCGGTATTACACACCCCTACCTATGGCAGCAAGAAACAACATATTCCCGGCATCTCCGAACGACAGTATCCTATGTGAAAGTTGCATAAAATAAACACAGCCAGAGTAGGATCTGTTTTTTCCATCTCTGGGACCACAACCAACCGCACACAACTTTGTTGTAATACTGATTTTTTTCAATAGATGTGCTTTCCGTTATATGTCTCCAAATTACTTGACCTATACCGTACTGATTGCTAAAGAGCATGAAACAACGTTGTACTCGGTTGGTGGTGGTCGCAGTGACGGAAAGGAAACAGACCCTATTCAACATACATAGACGCTTGGAGATGTGATTTAAGACGAGAGATTTTTCGGATCGACGACATAAAATTGTAAATTTTATACCTCTTTAATTGTTAAAACGGCAATATTCCACAACAGATCCTCATAAAATTTATGTTAACTCCTGTTCTGATATCTTCTCTTGATTGCCAATATGAACTTGGTGTCAATACAATAGTTTTCACGTTTATTATAATACCCAGTATTGTACAGAGTGGCCAAGTAAGAATGCGAGGTACTATATCTGGGAACCTATCCATCGTAGAGGCTTGCGGAAAAAAAGTTCGTACTAAAACGGCCAAGAGAAAAATCTGGAAAATATTTTCAAGTTTCTGAAATGGCCTCTAGGGGGCGTAACTGCAATCTTGAATTTCGCTATATTAACCTAACAAAAAAATACCTGATCTTTAAAGTCGAGGATAATGCGAACTTTTTTGTGAACCGCATCTCGATATCTGGTTCCTAGCCTAAAATTTAGGCTAAAGAAAATTTTATACGGTAATCCATTGAATTTTTATTTTTGTAAGCTAATTTTTCTAGAATTCTTCTTTATTCATCAGAATAAAATCACCCTTTTTAGTTCGCATTCTTAGTTGACCACCCTGTACCGCTAATTCAGTTTAATAGTTTTCTAGTATTTATAACATTTTAGCATGATTATTATATAACGTATGCAGTTGTAATAGCAATCATTTATGCTCCATTGTTTTGCGGTATATGATCTGCGAGAAACATGTATAACACGAATATTTAAAAACCTATAAACATAGTAAGTACCTTTTGTTTGTGGGGCAGGCTTCCTGATCCTAAGACAGCCCGAAGGCATTGTTCACACCAAAAGCAACCAATTTCGACTTCGTATGGATTGCTTTTGCATTTCCTCTGAAGCAACAGGTAGTGTTGTTTTTGAAGTGTTAATGAAGTCATTGACTATAAGCTACTGATTAGAATGTATACACACTATTTTGATTCTTAAAAGCACACAAGTACTAAACTTATGAATTAATCAGTATATTTAGTATTTTTTATCAACCAAGCCTACCAAATATATGAGCAATGAAGAATCTACGAAAAGTAACACCTTCAGTGTACCCGCGCCAAGAGTTAAGGCAACAGTGTTATTAATTTCGAGGCAACAGTCTACGAATTAGAGATTTCTGGAAATCTCCATCAGGTTGAAAGAGCGCAACTCGGCACATATTCTCCGCATCTATGCTCTGGAATTCTATACTTGGTCCAATACGTTGAGTCCCCAAGACCTTGAGGAGATTGGCGCAAAAAAACAGGGGTTGGCCTATACAGTGGTATTTCCCGGTTATCGGAATACCTCTGAATCACGCTTAATCGTTATCTCTATCTTCATCAAAATAACCATGATTCTTTCTCTTGTTTAGGTACAACGGAATTTTGTCGAACTACTTCTATCCCAAAGCAGTGTACCTCCGCCATCTTGAGATTGATAAAATAATCAATTGCCTCGTATTCATTCAAAGTACCACAGTCACATCTTACATCAAACATGCCAGCCTTCCACCAGAAAAACAGCCCTCGGAATTCTATTTATAGGAGTCGATAAAAGGTAAGCACGTAAAGTAATTAACATTTCTGACAATACAAATGTCACGATGATAGGCACTTCAGGATATGCCATCTTAACCGTACGGGCGAACGAGGCTCGTGCCTAGGGCCACGGCTTGATAAAAGCACCCAAATGCCCAGCAATCAAAGGGAATTTTGAAAAAAATTATCCCCAAAGGTAAAGTAGGGTCCCGAGTTTCACTCTAACCTGGGGCCTTGTAGCCGCATGCCCCGCATTTCCAGTGTGCCCAGTGATAATGCATAGCTTAAGACGGCTCTGATTTTGGGATTTTGTTTTTAAATAAGACCAACAATTTTGGTTGTGGGTATAACGGGTGGTCCATCTATCGTTTTTTTTTTGAGTTACTGGTTTTTTGGGATATGTCAAGACTTATTTCGCATCTGATTTGACAGAACATCAGTCATATCATTCCGATTAACGAAAATGGTTGTGTATTCGCTTGAACAACGCTGGGAAATATTAAAACAATATTTCGAAAGTGGTGGTAATGTTGCAGATTGTGTCCGAAAATTACGTGCAAAAATGGGAAGAAATGAAGCACCGTCAGCACCGTATGTGAGGTATTTTGTGCAAAAAGTTCGTGAAACTGGTCTTCTTATTGACAAACCAACACGTGAAAGACCGAAAACGGTGCGTACACCCGAGGATATCGATGCTGTAGCTGAGAGTGTGGCAGAGTCTCCAAGCACATCAACGCGCCAACGTTCTCAACAATTGAACATTTCACGCACATCATTAGGTCGAATTTTGCATAAAGACCTTGGTATGAAGGCGTACAAAGTTCAATTGGTTCAGCAATTGAAGCCAACTGACCATCCAATGCGTTTTCGCTTCGCTTCATGGGCCTGCAATCAACTTGATGAAGATGTTGATTTTGGTCGAAAAATCATCTTTTCAGATGAAGCGCATTTTTATCTTGGCGGCTGTGTTAATAAGCAAAACTGCCGCATTTGGGGTTCAGAGAACCCACACGCAATCGAAGAAAAGCCAATGCATCCAGAACGAGTGACTGTTTGGTGCGGATTTTGGGCTGGTGGCATCATTGGCCCATTTTTCTTTGAAAATGAAGCCGAAGCAGCAGTTACTGTGAATGGTAAGCGTTACCGTACCATGATAAATGAATTTTTCTTTCCATAAATTCAAGATATTGATGTCGGTAACATCTGGTTTCAACAAGACGGTGCTCCGTGTCACACAGCAAACGCTACGATTGCTCTTCTGCGAAGTGTTTTCGGTGATCGCATTATCAGCCGAAATTCTGATGTTGTTTGGCCGCCTCCGAGCTGTGATTTGACCCCATTAGATTATTATTTATGGGGTGCCATTAAAGACCAATGTTATGCCAACAAACCAGCAACAGTTGGCGAAATAAAAGAGAACATACGCGCTGCCGTTGCTGAAATACAGCCACATACGATTGAAAATGCGGTCAAAAATTGGACTGACCGTATGGGCTACTGCAAAGCCAGTCGCGGCAGTCATTTAAATGAAGTTGTATTCCATACTTAATCGGAAGGATTGTACTTTCAAATAAAAAAAAAATTTGGAAAAATATTTAGTAGTTTTTTTTATAGCATTTTAAAAAAAAAAATTTAAATGGACCACCCTTTATACATATTATTAAAGTGTATGGGTGTTCAATAATGGAAGATATTTTTAAAATTCTTTCCTCAGCAGCTCCTACAGAAAGATGATCATTCTTCTCCTAAAATGTTGTCACAATTGAGGCTAAATTTCACCAATAACCTAAGAAACGTTTTACTGAAGTTTTTTATTCATACCGAAGCAGCCGCACAGGCAGAAGCCTAAATGCCGGACACCGCGGCTGCTATCATGCTCCCAAATAAATTTTGTTAATCCGATTTTCGAATTGCCTAAGGTTGGTAGAACTGGGAAAAGCTTCCTTTTGTAAATTTGTCCACAAGCTCGACACCCTCGGGACAAAGGAGCGGTCGTATCGGCCAGTTCTGGATGTACGAAGAATCACGCGGATCTGTGCGGCGGCATCATGGAAGAGAGTTCTGAGGAGCAAAGCCCGTTGGTGTGGATTGGGTTGATTGAGCAGGAAAGGAGGTCGTTGATATGTAAGAGGAACAGTGTCGGAGACAAGACCAATCCCTGGGGAACACCCGCGTTGACGTTATCGGATGAAGAGGAGAACCCGTCAATTACGACGGTTATCTTGCGGCCAGAGATAAAGCCAGCCACCCATCCGCAAAGATTTTCTGGAAGGGCATAGGATGGAAGTTTTCTTAAGAGGGTAGCCTGCCACAGCTGATCGAACGCTTTCGTCTTGTCAAGGGCAACGGCATGGGCCTCACCATAAGACTGGATGAGTTTATTCCACAATTACGTGACGTAAGCTAGGAGGTCCCCTGTGGATCGCTGGTGCCGGAAACCATACTGCCTGTCGCTAATCAAGCTGTCAAGTTCGAGGTAGTCAAAGGCTCGCGATTTATGCACCTCTCCATCACCTTGCTTATAACAGAAAGCAGAGCTATAGGCCTGTAGTCGTAAGGGTCGAACATAGATCCCTTTTTGGGGATGGGTTGGACATTTCCAGTTTTCTCTTCAGTACAATGGCAGGAATCAAGTCCGGACCAGAAGCTTTGTTGATGTCGAGCGACAAGAGCACTCGTCTTACGGTCTTATGTCCGAATGTGTAGGGAGCCCTTTGAATTGACGACACTTGGGCGTTGGGGGGGACGTCCATGGTGGAGTTGGCTGCAAAGATCTTGGCTAGCACTTTCGCCTTGGTCTTTGAGTCGGATGCAATCATTCCATCCTGACACATAAGTGGTGAAAGGCTACTGTATGAGAAGATCTTTTCAATCTGCTTGGCCAACGTCCAGAAAGACCGACTGCCATTACGCTGCTGCATTACCCTGTGCCTAACTTTTATATCGTGCTGGTTTTTGGCATTGCGAACCGCTTGGTTATATTTGTTTCTGGACTCGATGTCAGCTTATCTGTTCTCTACAGTGGGGTTTTGTACGAAGGTTCTGTGTGCGTGAATCTTCTGCTGGCTAGCAGTGTCACACGATTTGTTAAACCAGCCGTTGGCACTTTCACTGTATGAGGGATGTAGTCTTCCATTCCGACGTGGATAATTTCAGTTATCGAAGAACAGACAGCCGACGCATCCGCGTCAGTGAAACAGACATCTCTCCAAGGAAAGGTAGAGAGCCCCTCCCAGTCAGCATGTCCGTAATGCCAAATTTTGCGGCCTGTGCGAGTGTCTGCTGCCACAGCGGGTTCTGACCGAAACCTAACCTCCACAACACCGTGGTCTGAGTTACCCAGGGGGGACAGGACAGCAGTGCTGTAAGGGACAGGATGCGTGGTTAGAAACAGATCCAGCAGGCTGCTGGCATGTGACGAGACGCGGGGAAAAAAGTAGGGCTCGTCACCAGCTGGGACAGCCCTTGAGTAAGAGCGAACGCTTCAACTACACGACCTGCTGCATCGGTCTTGTTTGAGCCCAACCAAAGCTCATTATGGGCATTGAAATCACCGAGGTGAACTACGTCTGAAGTGGGGTGATTAATGTTCAGGAAATCGATCTTGACGGCGAGGTATTCAAGTAGGTCATCCCAGTTATGGTCCAAGGGAGAGCGATAAAGGCAGCAAATAAATTTGGCGAATGTTTTGGAGTTGAGGTGAAGCTACAGACTGTCCTTCCGGTCCGATGAGAAAGAAACATCTCTGGAGCACGAAAGACTGCTGCGGACAAAAGCCGTTGTGGCTTCGTCCTCCGTTCTTTCTCAAATTGGGGTGCACCTCGTAAGTTGGGAACCTAAGATAGTTAATCGGTGCAGACTCTGAGATTTTTGTCTCCACCAAAACAAGCATGACAGGACGATTGGATTGCAAATAGTGATGAACAGCATCAAACTTGCTGTTAATCCCGCAGATGTTCGTAAAACAAATTTTATCTTGTTGTTCCCTCGAGTCCACCGTCCACCCGGACCTTCCGAGAATGAAGTGAGCTTACGTCCGGAGTTCTTAGTACTCGAGCGATCCATCAACCTTAATTTCTTTGTTTTGGACGTTAACCAACTGCAGAGCTTAGGTGTGGAAACATGCGGACATTTATAAGAAAGGAAAAGCTAGCGGGTGGTACCACCTCGATCGACTGGTCCTTGGCTACCACCTTCATTTTACGTGTTAATGATATTAAATAGGTGGCCCGTTGGCGGACTTGTACCGCCACCCGGCAATCGGTACTGAGATAATTCTTAACGCGTGTACAATCACTAGAACGGGACGAAGTTGTATACTGGATACAACAACTTCCGGAACAAGCATTTGCCACGGCCCCGCTCAGTAGGGTTCATAATTAATCGTCTACGGATTATTTGACTTGAGTAGAGCTGCCATCACCTAAATTAGCAACGCCGGACAAAAGCTTCAAGGACCTCAGGCATTTGGGAGAAATTCAGACTTTTAACCGGTTATCTCAGTGTTTTTTTTTTAACGACGATGTCATTTTCATGTCTTACTGACTTCAACCGCTTGTTATTTATTCAACAACGTATTACAAAAATTGTCAAAATCGCCTTAAACTTACAGTATAACAAATGAAATACTAAATAAAGTCATCACTAATAAAAATATACTCATCTCTTTCCGAGGTAACCTGATAGCAAAAATAATTAGGATAATAATTTAATTTTTGGTTCTAGAAATGAAATACACTACATATCAACATAAAATATAGTATGAAACAAATTACAAGTCATCTAGCTAGGTAGGTTTGGTACCGAAAACCCTAAACTCTTTTGGCGTTAATATTTCTATACACTTCCAATTCCCAATTACCAATTATACGCACCTATTTTACATATTTCATACATCATAGATTTTTCCGCCATTTTTATGTTAATATGTGATTTATACTGCATTTAGGTTTATTGGCGCAGTTGAAGTGTTATGAGTCCTGGGGCTATTCTTGCGTTATACGAAGAAACATTCTGCTTACATAATTTAAAAATAATATAACAATATTTCAGTAATGTTATCTATAGTCGTAGAACTCAAATGGATTTTTAATATTTCCAGGTGCCAGGGAAACCGGACTCCCAATACTTGTACAGCAATTACAGACTGTGAAGACGAACGGAAAAGATTATGATGATTTTTTGGACTGAACTAAACAATGTTCCGATATCATGTACAAATGACACTTATTATATCAATATTTCGGAACGTAAGTTTTTGAGAGTAGAAAGATGTCCATTATCCTAATGAAATCACTTTCAGGCCGAATACGTTGTAGAGGAATATCCAACTAAAATGAAATACCCAAAATATATACTGAAGCAACTTCGAGGGCAAAACATAAATACAAGTAAACAAGTGATACAAAGGTTACTCACTACTCATTTGATAAGGGATTTGAAGTACTATCCTATCGCATGTTTTGTTCGTTAACTTAAACGTAGATAGATAGATATGATGAATATACTAAAAATGGGTTCCATCTTATTTGCGTGATAGAGAGTTCTTTGTGTGTATAAAGGGGTATAAGTCGAAAATTGTTACTCCGACGTCGGAAGTTTCCTCAGGGTAGCCACCTATGCCCTCTGTTCTTCGTAATCTGTATTACCGATATCGCTCAATGTTTCAGCCTTCTTTACGCAGACGATTTAAAGATGTACCGTATAGTTGAAATCTTCAGGACTGCACCAAAATACAATGCGATATCAGACTCAATGATTATTGTCAGAGAAATGATCTGCCACTCAATATTAATAAGTGTTTCTCAATTAGCTTTACCAAAAAAAGGAACGTATTACAGTATGTGTATCAGATAGATAATGTTAATACGAGTATTAATTCGGTGAGCACTATTACGGGACCTGGGTGTTACACTTGATACGAAATGGAGCTAGATAAAACCATTAACAAAACCAATAAGATGCTTGGCTTTATTAGGAGACACTCTGGATACTTTAATAACCCTGCTACCCTGGTATCACTATATTATGCGTTTGTACATAGTAAGCTCTCATTCGCGTTTATTATTTGGAACCCACACTACGAAGTCCATATAAGAAGGATTGAGTCTGTCCAACATAAGTTTCTACGGCTTTTGGCGTATAAGGCGAATATCAATATACATAATCATGTTTATATCTTGGTAATGGAACGTTTTAAAATCTTACCTCCTATTTAAGAGAAGGGTATTATCTGATTTGTGCTTTATTCACCGAATCTTAAACAATCAAATCGATTGTTTTTACCTTTTGTCTGAAATCAATATACAGGGTGTTTCAGTTTATTGTTGCATAACTTTAAGATTCGATAGAACTTTTAAAATTAATGCATAAAGTCTATATAAACAAGGGTCGAAAAATGCGTGGCTTCCGAAATACAGGGTGTTTAAATTTACTTTCTGAAATAGTTTTTTTTAAATATTTCGAACAATATTCGATGTATAATAGTGAAAATTGGTATACAAGGGTTTTTTGGTACGACAAAACGAACCATGGGCATAGTTTTACTGTAGCCGCTAGAGGGCGCTATCTACTGTACCTGTAGTGTATTAAAATAACCGAAAAATTTTTTTAGTGCAATTTTTTGCTTTTTGAATAAAAAAACTGATTCTTCGCACTTTTCAACATAAAAAAGCTCTCTTTTGAATTTTCGTTATAATTAGCCGTTTTTGAGATATTTCGATTTTTAAGGTTCGATGCATTTTTAATTATTTATGATAAAATAACGTTAAAAAGTCAGTATCTCGACAATTTTTAGAAGTAGGCTGTGCCTGCAAATATTTTTGAAATTGAAAGCAGAATGAGATTAAACGTCAATTAGTTGACAGTTAGTTTTGTTGTCTGTTGAAACCTGAAACGTTTTTTTGCAATTGTGAATGCACGAAATTTAGATTCTTTTACCTGTTTTTTTTTTTGTAAGTTTTATAAAAATGCCATTTTTATTCTCCAATCAAGAGTTAGCGGATATTCATTTTGTGTATGGCTTTTTAAATGGAAACGCAGCAGAAGAAGCCAGAGAATACGCACGAAGATTTCCAAACAGACGACATCCAACTCGCTCAGTATTTGTAAGAGTGCATCGCCAAATAATTCAAAATGGATTTGGAAATCTCCAAATGGATCAAAACATAAATGTTCGTTAGCGCAGATTGACCCGTATGATTCTACGTGAGTTTGATAGAGATCCGACCACAAGTGTTAGGGAGAGTTTCTGGTGCCTTGGGAATTTCAGCAACCCATGTTCAGCGTGTTCTTAGAAATGACCATAGATGTCCTTACCATTTGCAACCTGTGCAAGGACTACAGTCAGGGGACGGAGAACGAAGAATCACATGTTGTCAGTGGCTTCTTGATAGAACTGATAATAATACGGAGTTTTTAAGTAACGTTTTGACCGATGAGTCATGCTTCACTAGACGTGGAGTGGTAAATGTTCATAATCAACATATTTGGTCGCATGAAAATCCGCATGCAGTTCGGGAAAGAAATTTTCAGCATGAATTTAGTGTGAACGTGTGGATTGGTATCTACCGTAATCGACTATTTGGACCCTACCTTTTGCCTTCAAGGTTAAATGCTGCGACCTTCTTGGAATTTTTAAAGGCTGAACATGCAAATATGTGGGATGATGTTATGTGAGATTTAAGAAGATTGGCCAGGTTCCAGCTTGATGGTTGTCCAGCTCATTATTCGAGAATAGTTAGAAACTGGCTGGACGAAAATTATCCAGAAAGATGGATCGGCCGTGGAGGACCAGTCGCCTAGCCTCCACGATCCCCTGACCTAAATCCATTAGATTTCTTTGTGTGGGGATTTCTAAAAGAAAAAGTGTACCAGACTCCCGTAACCACAAGAGATATGCTAATAGACAGAATCAGGAATGCATGTGATGAAATAAGGCCTTATTTGAATAATGCTATACCACGTTCGATCATTCGTAGATGTGAATTGTGTATTGAACAATTGGGTTTACATTTCGAGCAACTACTTTAGATTTTGTATGTTTGTCCTAACTATCTAATAGCATTTTAGTTGTAAATAATTAATTTAATTTGTTAAAAATAATATTGCAAAATTAAACAAATTAATATTGTTTTTTTGTGTTTATTTGGAGTTACGAATTATTGCTGTGTTTAAAAACACAATCTAAACGATCATCTTAATTACTTGTAATGCCCAAATGGAAAATATTATTTAATATTATTTATTATAACCTTAAAAATCGAAATATCTCAAAAACGGCTAACTATAACGAACATTCACAAGAGAGCTTTTTTATGTTGAAAAGTGCGAAGAATCAGTTTTTTTATTTAAAAAGCAAAAAATTGCACTAAGAAAAAATTTTCGGTCATTTTAATACACTGCAGGTACAGTAGAGAGCGCCCTCTAGCGGCTACAGTAAAGCTACATGGTTCGTTTTGTCATACCAAAAAACCCTTGAATACCAATTTTCACTGTTATACATCAAATATTGTTCGAAATATTTTATAAAGTAAATTTAAACACCCTGTATTTCGGAAGCCACGCATTTTTCGACCCATGTTCATATAGACTTTATGCATTAATTTTAAAAGTTCTATCGAATCTTAAAGTTATGCAACAATAAACTGAAACACCCTGTATATGTACCGCCAAGGGTAAACCAGAGGCACTGTACGTACTTCAATATCCCGTTTTGCACAACAAATCTTGGATTAAACTCTCCGCTAATACGAATGCAAAGAAATCTCAATACCTATGGTGCATTTTCTGATATTTTTGTTTGCCAATTCTTAAACTTCAAATACCTATTAAAGAACATGATGTCGGCTACTCCCTTATAAACGACGCTACTGCTCTTTAACTTTCTTCTTTGTATCCTTATTGCTAAGTTGTTTCACATGCGTTTATATCGTTTTATAACAGTGCTTGTAACTTGGTATTCTTTGTAAGCTATGTTGTGGATGTCTTTTTTTGGAGAATTTCTCTGTTTGACATCCCAAAATTCTTAAATAAATAAATAAATAAACCTATAACACAATTGCATATGTGGATCTTAAGTAAATGAATTGTAGAACTCACACACGGTATAATACGGTTACATATTAGAAAGTTTTCAAGTTCACTGAGGAATATGTTTAAATTGTTAATCATTTTGTTAGCATAAAGGAGACATACATATGTAAATTCTCAGACTCTCAGACAACTGTTGATTTAGGTACTACTAATTTGATATCTTGTTTTAATCTAATATCGTAACTTCTTTTTATGTTTTTGTACATTTATTTTTAAATCATTATTCCAAGATTTAGAAATAAAGGCCTCTAGGAATGCTTTTAGCCATATATCTAATAGTTAGTTTTTGTTGAATAAGCACTTTTTTAAACAATTTTGGTAAATGACACTCCAAATCTCAATCTACTTTCAAATAAGGCAACATAACTGTTCAAGGCTGTGCTTTTCCCTGCGTTGTAACTAGTGATTCTTATAATAAGGGCTTTGATAGGTGAGTAAAAAACTGGTCTTAGTGATTAGTAAAATCCAATTTATGATCAATGGTCAGTCTCAAAAATTTTATGGTGTCTATTTTGTGTATCAATGCATTTAAATTTATTAAATCAATGGAGTATTTAAATGTCATAATTGATATTGACATTGAAAGTTAAGTAAATTGTCACAACATTTTTTCATTAGTTGTAATTATATCACTATCAATTTTTGTCTTAATTTCATTACCAAAATATTGTGGTATCATCCACAAAAACTATGAATTTACCACTTATGTCTAAATTTATTAAATCATTGATATAGACTAAAATAGAATCGGACCTAGTACTGATCCTTGAGGTACCTTGCGTTTATATTTAATATATCTGAGATACAATATCTTGATACTTCTACGATTTGGGATCGTCTATTTAAATATGTTTTAACCCAATAGACTGTTTAATTTATTTAATATAGCTTAGAGAGGTGAGCTGACCCTCTCAAAAAGATGAATGGGGAGAATGTATACTGAGTGACAAAAAAAAGTAAACACCTACGTATGTTTATACGATTTTAATAATTTTTGGCATATATGTTCATTGTCCTTACTAGTAAAATGATTAAATTTTCAGCTTGATTCGTCAACTGTCTGAAGAAGCTGGTTCAATAATGTGTTGAGGATCCACGATTTCTTATACACTCATTGACACGTCTGGACATCGTACTGATAAGGTGGTCGATATCCTATTGGGGTATCTCATTCCAGGCTAGTACAACTTCGTGAGTAAGAGCTGCTGAAGTATGTGAAGGGTATTGCAAATTCAAGAGCCTGCGACCTATCATGTCCCAGACATGTTCAATTGGAGATAGGTCAAGCGATCGTCGTGATTTAGGTATGAAATAAGATGAGGCTCCACTACTTCCTGAATATAGCGTCGGGCTGTCATAATGCCTCTGATAAAAATTAGTTGTGATCTGCTACCATAAGCAATAGCACCACATACCATAGCTTCCACGGTGTAGGTGTATATTAGCCGGTATCTAGAAAGCTCAGCATTAAAATCATTTCTGATGGAGAAAGGTGAAACAAAAATGCCAAGGAATAAAGTGTAATTAAAGAAATAATTATGAAACTGGAAAAAAGATCAAGATCAGCAAAAAATATTTTCGTCTCACTATTTTGCGGCTTATAGAAAGTGACAAATTTCATTTTCCTCATTATAATGCCAACCTGCGATATCTATAGCTATCGTGTGATAGCTTTCTTATTCACGAATATTTTTATGAAGTGTGAAAGACGATGTATCATATATGATGCAAATCACTTTGCACTATGAATTCAACATTCGAGTGGTATGTATGTTCTACATTTCCTTCAACACTGTTTGAATTAAATTCTGTATCATCATAGGTAATATTTGCTTTATCCATATATCCATTGCACTCGAAAGCAAGATGACGCTTCAGATACTAGGCGCACCTAGTATTTAGATATTAAAATATTGTTTTCATCGGCACTATGTGTGAATGCTAAACCAATGCACCTTGGCCGAGGTTGGCCAACATTGACGCTTAATGACAGCATGACCAAGTTGGCTCCAATGTACGAATGCGACATTATAAATAAACCGATATAGTTTGAATATTGAATTTTTTTAAATATGGAAAAAAGTTATACAAGTTGTTCCGTACGGACATAGTGAAACGGTAGGTAGTATGGACCGAGACATTTCCAAATCTGTGAATAAAAAAAATTTCAATTCAGTTCTTACGGATATTCAGGGTGATTTATCCGAGCATGTCAAATCTTTACTACAACATTCCTCAGACACCATTGAACCAATTTTGTCGAAATTTTGCACGATAAGAAAGTTACCTAGGAGTAGCGTAAAACTTTCAAAATTTCAACAAAATCGGCTCAATACTGCCTGAAATATCTAATATCAAAGATACGGCGTTTTTATATAAATCACCCTGTATGTTCCTAAAAACTGAATTTACAACTTTTTTATTTGCATATATGAAAATGTATCGGTCGATACTACCTACCACTATGTCCACTGTAACCTGTAAAAAATGAAGCAAGATTAGATGTTTCAGTGATGTTTTGTATTTAATTCCGATTACCTTCTGACCTCCCGATGCAAGGTATCCGTCATAACTGACGCATTCATCTCATTGTCCCACAATACTGTTTTGATGATGTCAGCACTTTACACCCAAGCATTCAGAATGTCAAGCCAATCTCTGCCAAGGAGCTGAAGAGAAGAATACTAGCAACAACTTCTTCTCTGATAAGAGATCTGGAAACTGTCACTGCTTGGAGATGCCACAATCTGGTACAGTGTAATGCTTGAAAAATATTGCACTGTACCTTGACTTACAAGATGGATGGTTGACTTCTGACAAGGAGCAATCCGTTTCGTCTGGCCGGAGATCAGATCAGCTAGGCTTGACTTGTCAGGAACACATTTCGTCAACATAGCTGCTGCTGGGTTATTTGTCTAGGGCTAAGAATTGATTCTCTCTACGTAACACCCTCACTCTGTACAAGACCCAGATATGACTGCTCACATGTTTTGGATGTTATAGCTCCGACTACTCTGTCTATAACAGATGTTATTAAAGAGGAGGGCTGTCCGACTAATCGATGACACTTCTCTAACGAACGGTCGCTGGGGCCTTTCACACCCTTGGGCGGTCGTCGGTGATCTGGCTCTCTTCTAAGGCCATGCCGACTTTGCTCCTTAGACCTCTTCTCGATGATACCGCTGTGTGTTGCGCCTGTCAGATGGACTCATCAAGTATCTGCCTCCCATCATAACGTTGACGAACTACCTTCATCCAGAACTGGTCAGTGCGACAGCTCCTTTATTCCTAGGATGTTGAGATTGTGAAACAATCTTCCTGAAAACGTTTTTCCTAGTTCTGCTAACAATTCAAAAATTGGATTGACATGACGTTATCAAGTTCCTTATCCGCCAGCGATAAGGTTACGCGGCTGCATCAGTGTAAGAAAATATCCTTACGGTATGAGCAGCCGTTGATTCCTTCGCAACATAAAACTACAAAGGTGCGAAACATATTATTTATCCTGCAGTATCGACAATCATGTCCCCATATTTTCTTGTGAATGCAGTCTGTAGCTCATTCATCATCCTCGTTTATTTCCCTTGTAATCAGGGCAGACAGAACCATCCTCTTTCCACCCTCATACTCCCCTTCACTTTCCTTGGGGCAGGGGCGGAATGACAGTGTTATCACGCAGAAAGGCATGAGGGTCAATGTTGTATCATTCGGTATATACGGGAGGGCAAGCAACAAATTCACATTTTTCATTATATTAAAACACAATGCTCCACTGAGAAGTAGCTTTTCTCTCCCTAGGTCAGTAATGATAAAAGCTCTAGGTAAATAACAATGTCATTATAAAATTGTATCTCGCTAACCTCATTTTGTCATTTTGACAGCTAGGCTTTATATTCCCAATTTTTGTGTTATAAGCGCCAAATAATATAATATAAGCTAGTCATATAGTTACCCTTCTTTAGTAATTCAAATAGGAAGCATGACATACACCTTACTCCTATCTGAAACAAATGAACCAGTCCGCAGGCTAAATATGCTTCTTATTGCATTTGTTTAGGTTTGTCAGTTTTTACCAGGCTACTAGATTGTTCAAAGTATATGTAAAATAAGTGTGAAAATCATGATCGTTGATTTAAGTGTAGGTTAAGTAAATGACACTAGACAATGAAAGTATTTAAATCTTATAAAATCAAAAGTAGTTATTTTAAAATGAAAAAAATTCTATACATATCTCATTTGAAGAGGCCATTATTGCTCTCTTATATTAGATCCTTAGGTATAAGCACTATCGCGTCTCTCTAAATTGTAACAGGAATCTTTCATTACAATTCATTTGCAAAATAGGATGTATATGGTAGAGGGAGCCAGATATCCGTCAAAGATGCGCGTACTTGTCGAAAATTGTTCGATACACCTAACACTATGTAAGTAATTCTTTATTAACGTAGTCCAACTGGTAGAATACGTTAATCAATGATATAATAGCGGATTTCGACGGTGGGGCCGTAACCATCATGTGCGGACATTGTATGTGTAAAGCAAATATTTTCTGAATAGAGACCATCTTTTAACCAAACGCCAAACGGCATCAGACTGTCTGTTAAAGAAGAGTCACCGATCAGTCGGACAGCCCTCCTCAGCATCAAACATGAATAATGCAGTTGGGGCGGTAGCATCCCAAACGTGTGAGCAATATTCGAGGCTAGGGCTTATCTGGGTCTTGTATAGTGAGGAGGTCATGTGGAGAAAAGTACTTCTTAGCCCTAAACAAATAGCTTAACTTTTTCCCAGCAACTGCCGCTAATGCTCAAAATGTAAATATATACTGTGTTACTTAATGGCAGGCCGTAATTACAAGTATACATTCCTGTAGAAAGTAGAAAAACGTATATAAAGACGGGTCCTCAAAAGTCTGGTTTCCAAGACATACGATAAGAAAGCTTGAGAAAAAGATATCTTTTGACAGAGGAAAAATAATAGCTAACTGTCACGTAAAATCAAAGATTAGAACTTGACATCTCCCCCTAGCAACATTCAAAGTTAATTTCATTTTCGAAAACGTAAGATACCAAAAGATACCAAGAAACAAAAATTGTACCATGAGCGGCTCTCTCTCTCTCTCTATATATATATATATATACCTAAATATTATTAAAAAGTTAATGGCGTACATTTTTTATTAATATTATTCGTGCGACTGCCTCTTGCGGCACCACTGGAATTCATGATTATCTTCTTGTTGGTGCTGTCTTATTGCAATAAACAACGCTGCCAAAATTCAACAAAATCGGCGCGAGAATCTTTGAGATATTAATAAATAACCAGCATTTTTTATATCGTGTCACATTTAAAAATACAAGTTTGAAGTAATTTTCGGTATAAACCACCAGTCTTGACCAGTTCAATAACAATATAGCAAATTGCGCATTCCAAATTTTATTTTAATCCATTCACAAACAAAAAAGCTGTAAGCGGGGTCTGCCTCCCTGTATCAGCCAATATATGAGAGCCGACATATCGTGAAAAGTTATTGAGGTCCAATTTTGAGATTAAGTCTAGTGCTATTTCAGTACTGTTTCTTTGCCAAGGATGTCTTAAAACAGAAAGCTTGAGTTCTCGACATAATCTCCAGTCTCGTTAGAACAAAGCCCAAGATCTAGCAAGACAAAATTTCCGCTCTATTTCCACTACATCGCATTAAAATAGCGTATCACTCATATAAAATCCCAGTTAGTTTACCGGAACGGAGTAATTTTAAACCCAGTAGGCATTTAGCAATGGCAATATCAAACTTGAGAACGTATTATTTTGGTCCTCGTGTCTAATTTTATCGTCATACGCTTGCACGTGCCGTTGGGGTGCGAGAGAATATTTGTTAGGGAAGGTCCACAGTCTGCCAGATTCGCTTCAATATTCGAGGGTACAGAGGAGGGATAAGCTTTTCCCTCTAAAAATTATGAGAAATATCAGATGCTTCCTTTTCAGTGCAGTTTTCACTTGGCTGTCAGAATTGAAAGTTTGTTAATTCAATATTGCGAACGCCCTCAATATTTGATTCAAATTACGGATGCGCAAAAATAATCGGTTAATAACATATTTTTTTCAATTCGGCTAACGTGTTTTAACAGA